GTGGCCAAGCCTACTACTTTGCATTGATTTTTTTTCCCTTTATTGATTTTTGCCTTATAATTTAATGAGTTCCTGGTTGAGGAACGATTATGTAGAATTTGATGACTTTGGAGGGGCGCACAAGTTATACTCAAATAGCAGAAAGTGTTGTCTAATTACAATCTACTGATGGCTATGTAAGTAGTTGCAGCAGATTTTACTCCGACACGCATTTGTTTTGAGTTTTCATTCCCCAACTGCTATCCAGGGCCAAGGGGGAAGAAATCTCCATAAATAGAAATCCCATTTTTTTCATCATAAGTAATGCCCAACTATACGTCCTTTTCTGGTGTATGAGCGTCTAAATATTTATATTAATTTATGTCAATAAACTCACTAATAGTCTCCTTTTGAGTAACTCCAGGTTAAAAAAAAGTATTGTTTACCAAATTAACCCAGGACTATAACAATAGCAGTGACTGTGCAGCCTTTAACACAGACAAAATCTATAAAAATAATAATAAAGCTACAGTGTGAGAAAGATATAAAAGGGGGAGAAGCTTAAAAGTTGGATAAATGACACTGTGGTGAATCTGTGGAGGACTTCTGTCAAGTTCTCTGTGGGACTATTAGATCTTGAGGTTTTAAGAACTGTTGCGGCATCGCTAAAGCAGGAGCTGTTTCCTGGTTCTCATTACAAAGTCAGGTTTTTCTCAGGATGAGTTGCCCTCCACTCTGCGTTCTTGTGTGTGGTTCTCATGGCCTCATTTCCAGGCTTAGTTGGAGCTCTAAGTACGCTTGGAGTTATTGAGGAATCACAGGCTTACTCTTTTACCTTTTGGATCGATACAGGGTGTCATTTTGAAGAAGGATCTGAGCCAAAAGGGGAACCTGCTGACAATCAGTTAGGTTCAAAAGATCTAACAGCTTTATTCAAACGTGTCTGATGTTCATAGAAGTTTATATAGGGCCACTTAAGGACATCCAACAAGCCAGCAGAGGAAATGAACCAACTTTTCTGAGTGGATGGTCTTAAGACGGAGGTCTTCAACAGGAGGTACTGCATGGGGGTTGCAAAAGATTTGGTTGTTTAGACTTTTTTTTATATTCCCCCCTGCAATTTTTTCCACTAATTTAAAATGTCTTTAAATCCACATTAACATGAATTCAACACACTGTAGTAAACAGATAAATGGAGGCAGAAGATGTCTTTTAGTCATCAATGAACACATTCAGCGACACATAGCAGCTCTTTCAAGCTGGGCACCATTTCATCCACAACACCTGTCCCATCAACCAGGAGTCAGAATCAGAAATACTTTAATCATCCCAGGGAGAAATTACTTTCATTACATAACTCCATCTGTAATAGAGTGACTATAGCACCAGTTTGATATAATGCAATTTCATACAATACATATAATTAGGGGGTCCCTGCTCCATCTCTCCATCAGTTTAGCTGAACACTTTGAAGCCCCCTGTCTTAAGAGACTTTGTTTTGTAGAACAGCCGAACAGGGAGAACTCTCTGGGTAGAACAAAGATTTGCAAGATTATTTTTAACATGATAGTATAGGATAGGTCCCATCCATAGGCTGGAGATTGCTGCTACACAGGACTTGTTTGGTTTCATAAACTGCAACTATGTCCTACTCTATTTATTTCTAAGGGATCAAATGGGAAATGTATTCAGAAATGTCTTTTTCAATCGCTACGATTCCAGCAGACTACCACCAGATGGCGCCAGAAGCCTCTGTTTTCAGTCATAACAGCTGACTTTTGTTTACACCCTGAATATCCATTTAGCTGCTGCGAATCTAGAGTGAACCTTCATGTTATCCGATTCCACAGGGGAGCAAATGGGACATGGTGCTGCTGTTTGGAAGCATTTATTCAACATTTGACATTATTTCCGATTTAAACTATAAAGTGGAAACAATAGACACAAGAGGGTCAGATAAGGTGGCTTCTTAAATCTGCTCCAGTGTTTTTTTTTTTATTCATTTGAATATCACTCTTCTTTTCCTGCCTGGTGTTTCATCTCTTTATAACAGTCTGGTGACTTGGACTGGGAATTCCAGCATTAGCTTCCAAAATGCAAGATCCATCATTTGAGGAGTGTCCTCCTTCTGACTGTTTCCATGGGGAGGAAATTTATGTGAAGCCCTGAAAACATTTGCTTTTAGCCAAACTGAAGCTTTTTGCATGCAAATTATGACATAGTGGGAAAACTGACTTATCACTGTAAACTGGCCTTTTACTGTTTGCATAATATCTTCAAAGTTTTAAACATATTTAGGGGTATTCAGTGTCCGTAGCCAAAAAAGCAAATCTCTCACTAACATCTGCTTGCTCCAGCCCAATAAAAACTCAAGAATGCCGCAGCTCTGTGTGCTTTACAGCTCACAAGCTTACTTCACTTTTTCCATGTGGATGAACCCGCCATGTGGGACCTTAAAATCTCCGAGCTTCCAGGAGATTTTGAACCTAGCGCCAAATGTATTTTTGCACGTGTCAAACTGAAAGTGCATGCTGCACTCCTGCAGCCAGGTGACTCTCTGAGTCTGGGCTGCGTTTTTACGCGCTGCAGAATTTGCCTCACATTGGAATCCATCTGCCTTGGATTTGCCACGTATTGAGGAGAGAGACTCAACAGTGTGTTTCTCATGGCGATGCGAAATGGTGTGAGAATAAATGCTCTTTGTACCCGACTGGGGTGTGTAAGTGTGAGTGTGCGCGCGTGCACAGGCAGGACAATGTCACCTTGACTGCAATGAACAGGAGGCATCACTGAGGCTGAGAGGGTTCTATAGAGCATCTGTATAGCGCCGGATACAGACAGGGAAGAGCTGGGGACCTGAGTGTATTTGTGTGTGTGAGAGAGAGGGAGAAACTCTGAGGCGGGTATAGCTCTCTGAGACAGCACACAGTGCCGGAGGATCCCTCTGCAGAGCGACGCAGAGATGTCAGGAGCGGCGCACACAGGTGGGTCATACAGCAGCCGGGGGACAGGTGATGCATGCTGGATGAGCGCCGTTTCATTCGCTTCTGAGCATCAAACCAATGCAAAAAAAAAAAAAGCCATCACATTCAAAGATTTCATTATTTTGTTTGTGCATATGCATGACCGTGCTGTTTGCACCCTGACATGAGGGTCAGAGGTTTTGGCATTATGCCAGAGGACATGATCAATCAACAACAAACATCAGGTGTCTATCTTTGATTTTTCTTCATTGCTCATTAAATGATTCATTGTCTTCATTTTCAACAGGTTAAGCCCTCTTTCTGAAACCTGCTTTTAATCGTGCAATTTTACAAGTGCGCCTGAAGTTGTTTCCTGGCAGGTAGCTGCTGCAGATCTTCCTAAATCCAACATTAGTCTGACTGGTCGCATTTTGGCGCTACTGTTGCAAACTCCAAACCTCTCTGTCACGTGACCTCCGTCGGACGAATATGTCGCTCTGATATTTTCATCGGAGAAACGCGGCATCAGCCAATCGCGTCCCACAGGAGGCGTCGCTGTGTTCTTAAGGTTTCGCTCAGGATGCGTTCACGTGTAATAGAAAATAAGACACTTGTTAAGAGACCCGCAAATATAACTTTTTACGCAGTTTTACATATTCTCATTTTGCATTAATTACTGCAACAGTGAAATTTGTCAATCCAGACGGAGGGAGACCCATTTTTAAAATAGTTCATCGGATGGGTTTGTGTTTTCTTTCATCTGCATCAAATAATTTGACCCTTAGGCTTCTGCAGAAAATGTAATGTTGAAAAAGGTCAACATAAACATTAACCCTACTCTAAGGGGTTGATGTTTGTGTCTTTTTAATCCCTAGAAGCAGAATTTGCAATTTTTGGCAGTGTATGCAATTGCCTAGTCCTGTTGGAAGATACAATAAACATGCAAATAAAATGTATGACCAGAAGAAAGTAGGTGCTCTAAAGTTTCCTTATAGATGATTTAGCTGACTTTGGACATCAACCACACTGGGTTTCCATCAAGCAGCTTGAATTAATTTCCTCTCCACCCTTCACAGTAAAGTAAAGTAAAGAGTAGATTGGTCACTCTCTGAATTAGTGTGGGACCAAATGTATTCTCAAAGTGTTACTTTAACACTGCAACATTTACTGTGTTCCTACAGATTCTAGGACCTATAGTTCCAAAGTTTTTTTCTCTGGAAAAAAATAACAAAACAAGCAATAAAAAAAACTTCTGGAAATTGGTATTTTAATTAGTGCTTTTGAAACACAAAAGTCTGCTTTTCCGCCTTTAATTTGCAAGTCATGCTTTTTCATGCAACACGTTTTCCTTTCACTCAATGTCCCAACCAATCTTTTGTAACTTACTATTCTTGTCACCGACTGTCAGCTGAACAATTCCCAGTTAGCAATAAAATAACAACTTTATATATTAGAAATCATTTATCGGTATTGAGACTCTTTTTGAGCTTGACTTTTCATATAATTTGTTTGTTTGTTGGTTCAAAATGGAGTTTGGTGACTAAATGTAATAGGAATTTACTGCCTGAGTTGAAACGCTGAAGTGAATAAACATTTTGGTTGATATGCAGCTGTATGTGGTTCTTATTAAAGCATGGAGCAGATGTTTATTGTTTTGTTTGTTTCTTATTAAAAACACAAAATAATTTTTTTTACATGTCATTTATTGGTATCAAACTCGTGAATATTTCTTAAAACAGGACAGTATAGGCCCTAATGAAGGTTTAGGAGGTTAAGAAGGCAGATTTTCTGAGCAGACGTGAACGCATCAGCAGGCCCTGTGTCGTCAGCCGTTTCCCTGCGCCTCCTCCAGCAGCCAGTCAGAGGAGGGATGCTCTGAACGCAGGACTGCAGCATCTTCACCGACTGAACAAAACGTCTCTTTCTCCGCGTCTGCTTCCAGCTCCGCGTCTCCGGACCCTCACCGCCCAGCGACACCCCGGGGTGTCTCTATTAAACGCCTGGAGCCAGGACAGGACAAGGAGAGACATATTGCACTAAAAAAAAAAAAAAAACACAGGATTTTTAAAAAAATATATTTTATCATCACTCCGGCAGTTTTTCTTTTTTTATTTCCCAGTCTTCAGTTGATTTTTTCCTCTTTGTTGTTTCTCTTTTTGTTGTTTTTCTTCATTGTTCGCCAGGAGCGCCACCATCCTGTTCTGCCGGACATGAGAGCTTCTTGCAGCGGAATGATTCACTTATCCAACCCGCATATCTGAAGGTTGTTGGAAGATAAAAAAATATTTTTTTTTTTCTACATTTTCCCGCAGGACAGCTAATCTGCAGAGCTTTGGGATTTTTTTTTCCTCCTCTCCGTTTCTGAGACCATCTTTCCTTCGCTGCGCAGCATCTCTCTGTAGCGCAGAGAAAACGCGCAGCTCAACCTGCTCCCGTCCGTAAGAAAAAAGGCGTATTTCCCCATTCTTAAAGCGCTCTCGCTTTCACTCAGGGCTCATCCGCACGGCTGCGCTGCGTAAAGAAAAGGAAAAAAAAAAAAAAAAACACGGGGATTTAAGCGCAGACGCAGCTTAAGCATCCAAGAGCGATCTCGAAAATGATGGCCGGCGGAGCTGTACAGCAAAACGGCATTTTCACAAATCCTCACCATCACAATCAGCAACCGCACATGGAGTCCGACCCACCGGATTCGCGTAAAAGACCACTGGAGACCCCGACGGAGGCCAGCAGCACCAAGCGCACAAACACGGGAGGTAAGAGATGGGGATGCAGGAAAGACGCACAAACCTGAGTGAATGTGGGAACATGGGGAAGCAGGTTGATCCTCAGCTTTAGAGATAATAATAATAATAATAATAAAAACTTAGCGGGTGGGAATATGAACAGAAATCTGTTTTTTTTTTTTGTAACCTGGCGCTTTAAATCCAGAGGGGATGTTTTTCTTTTTTATTGAAGCCCTTATGAGCGGCAATCATTTTCCATCAGCATTAAAATAATCACGGCTCGCCGCTTCTGATGGGAACAATGAGGGGAAGCGCGCTTCTGTTTACCTCCACGCACACCCAGAATGATTTATCCTTTTCTCTTTTTTCTTTTTTTTTTGCACCATTCCGACTTTATTAACACCATATTATTTATTACTGCGTCTGAAGAAATCCGGCGGCCATGCTTGAGCCAATACAAAGGATGTAAACAAGTGAAAGGCAGGTCAGGCGGTTTGGCCCCTATGCGCGATCGCAGGGTCCCTTCGAAGGATGACCTTGTGGTAATGTCTAACATCAGCCACCATCACCGCGCTGTGTGTGCAATTACACAAGCGGATTCCTAGCAGCAGCAGCAGGCCTGTGGCGAGTCGGTGAAAAACAAGAGGAGCTCTGCTCACACTGCGACAGCCTCGCTCTTTTTAGTGCCTTTTTTAAAAGGTGTTTGGGATTTTCGCTGCCGTTTCTTAATCAGATGATGTTTCTTTATTTCTACAAGCTGGATGGAATATGTCACCATGGTAATCACCACATTTGGTTTTTGTTTACATGCTGTCATGCGCCAAGCATCCCCCCCTCCATCACCTGGCATTACAACCATAGCATAAACTGGCCATGCACCCCCCCTCCATCACAATGCACTTTTAATAGACTGCTCTACACACCGCACAGGTGTAATGCAATACTGGTATAAAGAGATCTGGTTCCCTAATGCCAGAGAAATGTTCCTTTAAATACAGTCTGCTAATGTGAGAAAGAGTTAAAGGGGTAGTTCTGCTATTTTAAAAAGTGGCTCTGTCAAAACCTAAGGTTATGTCTTTTATGTTGTGTTTGGCCCATTCTGACTTTCTTTCTTTTTTCAAACAAAGCTAAAATATGTCCTGCAGTTTTTTTTTTTATATATATAGACATTGTAGTTTGAAATTCAACCAACAAATAAGGAAATCAAAGTTCAATTTATCCTTCAAAACAAATGTTCATCACTTAAATCAGCTTTGTTTTGATGCATCTTTTGAATAGATAGGAGATGTTACATAAGCTGATGCATATGTAACCAGAAATGGAAGTTTCATTAATGAATTAAATTAATTTTAAGAATAAGTTTAGAGTTTTTAGTGTTTTACCTGCAGATTCCCATTCAAAACCATGTAAAAGAAAATGGTCAGCTCCTGATATTTGGTCAGTTTTATTTATTTATTGCAACTCCAGTAATAAGAAGATAACATTGTAGCTACGGTAAATAATCATCTTGGTGTCTTTATTTGTTATAAATCTGTTTGGCCTAATGCTAATGGCTGGACCAAAGGAGGTTCTTTCTTCCAGTTTTAAAATCGTCACAATTCCATGCGAACATTAAGACCATTGACATGTTTACATCTGGCTTTTTCTTACCCAGAAGCTCATGTTATTTTTTTTTACATGGAACTGAGGTTTATGTTTATGCATTAGCAGACGCTTTTATTCACAGTGACTTACTAAGTAGGCATTAGCATAAAGGGTAGGAGACTGTGCCCCATTATTTGACTTCCTGTGTACTTCGAACTTGCAGAGTAACAATAGTCGAATTAGTAAAGCAGCTTAAAAAGTAACTTTATTATAATTGTTCAATTGAACACTATTTAATCTTTTTTTTTTTTTACATATTTTATTACCATATGACTGAAATGTTCTTTAAATGTTACTTGTTTCATACAGGAAGAGTATCAGAGGTGCACCTCCTCCTTTTTGGAAAAAAACCCCAACATTATTAGTTTTATAAATGGCTGTTACTTGCAGACATACTAAGAGAAAAATATTTACATTTTAGAGATTTGAGAACTTTAAGGGGAAATGTTTGCTTGATTTTTTTAGTCCCTCTCTCAAGCCTAACTTTATCCTGCAAGATAAACTCAGAAAGTTGTCTGTTGCAAAGATCTTAACTGCTAATAAAGTTTTGACAGGACTGCCACCTTTAAAAATCATGAGCTATCCCTTTAACACACTGCCATAAGCTTCAACCAGTGAAGGTCTTCTCTATGCATGCAGGATAATTCTAATCATTTCTGTTTTTATGGAGATTTCAAAATGAACTCTGAGACATAATAAAACGGATTGAGGATTTTGGCAGATTCTGAATCTTTATTGAATCTGAGGAAGAAAAATTATGATAATCATGGAAGAATCTTTCCTGCTGAGTCTAAAGACTTTTAAGCAGTTTGAAAAAGCTAGGCATGGGCCGGTGTCAGATTCTGGTTTCATAATGATAACAGAAGACCTAGAGAAGGATAGTTTATCTAATGATCTGTTGAAAAAGAAAACAAACAAATTATTCTGACTCCTGCTTTAAAAAACAGCTCATTAATTAAAACTGTCGGTCTAATAGTGATATTTTAACTGTAGGTAGCAAAAAAAACTAAACAAAAACTGTAAGTAAAATGCTTTATGTGCAGAATACCTTACTGCTGCTCTGGTATTAATAGTGGAACACAAGAATAAGGACCTGTTAGCAGTAAATAGTCTCACTTGGCCTAAATTGTAGGAGCCTTGATGGAGCCAGCTGGGCAGCAGTGTGCAGCTCTGCAATTCACTTTGGTTCTTTGTCTCAGTTCTTTGTCTCGCTTCTCATTTAAAGGACTTTAGATGTGTAGGAAGAAAGAGTACGTTTATGAAGTACTTTAAGGGGTAACCGGCCCATGCCTAGAACTACACCGACCACCATCTTTGTTAGCGACAGTCTGAGAGGGTCCAGCCAAGGAAGGGTTGAGCCGCAGGTTAGCCGGCAGTGTTTAACTGCAGATCAATGCAGCACTCAGAGCACTAAAGCCTCCTCTAGGCTCTATGTAAAAACCCACAGCCCGGGCCCTCGGGGGACGTTCTCGCTGCCTGCGTAAATCTCAGCCAGCTTGTGCATTTAGACAAATGAAAAGCCTAGATGATGATGATGACTTTTACTCAGACATAGACTGTACCGCAGTTAGTTTAGCTCTTCCCCTGAAACCGCATGTTTAAGTCCAGAAGGAAACAAACAAACAGAGCTTGGCTTGGGGTCTTTTTTTCATCTGTTTCATAAATGTATTATGTTCTAATATAAATTAATGATTTATGTCTTTATTATCACTAATTACTTATTACAACCTTGGTTATATTACTGAAATAAGCCTTAATAAAGTGCAGAATGTGAAATTAAATATGATTTTGCTACTGTTTTTATTGTTTACCCCCTAATTTGAGGGAAACAAACTCACCAAGCAGTGTTTTTTCTATCTATATTCCTTAAGATGCACTCAGGTTGCAGATCTAAAGTTAGAGCTCATAATTCTGGTTGTTTCTCTGAATGATTAGTTTACGCCAAACACTCCCCACCCCTGTGCTTCCTCTCTCTGTAGTGGCCTTCCTGCAGCCCATATTTGAAACTGAAGGCATTGTATACCCTGAACAAGAAACTGAGACTCATGGTAAGACAGACTTTGATTTTGATCTTCTACCTCTTTTTTTAGTCATTAATGTTAACACTGCAGTGTCTGAAGGCAGATTTCAGCAATAACTGAGACAAGTGTAGGATCTTTTTTTTTTTTTTTAACACAGTCTGACTTTTAAATAGGATTTAAGGTTACATTGAACACCTTCATTCTTTTCATTATTCAGACTAATGCATGATGATATTGCTTCTATCGTATGTTTTTATTTCCATGACATCCATTACCATGCTTTTTTATGCAGATCCAGTGTTTGTTTTATTTCACAATGTTCAACATAACTGCACAGATGACTGCTGATGACCTTTGACCTCATGCTGGCCATATCATCTGCTGATGCATTGTTGAAACGTTCATCGTTCTTACGTTATAGGATCAAAGCGGGATAAATATGCTCCGTCTAGCAGTCGGTCACACGGCTGTTCTTCTTTGCTGTTTTATTTTTCCTTCTTTGGAGGAAAGTAAAACATTTATTCGGAGATATTCAAAGGTATCCACCAATCGGGCCTTTATCTGCTGATACCGATTTCTGGTTTTCTTGAAAGTGTCCATTTTGAGGAGTTTCTTGTTCCATTAACTACATAAAAAAAATAAAAAAAACGTGACGTACTTTGCTTTACATATGTAGAAGTAAATTATTATCTCATTTTATCCACCAAAGTACATTTACCTATCCTTCATCTGATTGTGATTAAATTGGAAAAAGAACATTTGAGTATCTTTGGTTTCCTGCTGAGGTGTTTATGGACCAAAAGCTGTTAAAAATTCCTTGTTATGATTAATTTAATCATTAAGATTTTTTGATTTATTTATTATTTTAATTAAACTTCTGTGTCACTGATTAGAGCCAATTAAGGGCAAATTATCTTTTGCAAATATGTTTTTTCCATGTTTACTAAAAGTGGTTGTTTCCATAGTTAAAACAGGGAAATAAAATTAGCAAATAAAATCAATATGCACAAAAAGATCAATCTGTTATTCAGCTGTAGGCAGTATATTTTTGTTCATTTCATTCATTCTATATTAACAAAATTTCCAGATGACAAAAATACTTTTTTTGTTTCTTCCTGGTTTTCCTTAAAGCTTCGCAATGGTTTGTGTCAAAGCCTAATCAAAGATGTGCATACCTGAGAAACAGTTAATAAAAAAAGCTAGTCAGTTGTCAGGGAGTAGAGACATGGGACCTCTGCAGCAAACCCCCCCCCACAGGTCATAAATCCCACTTGCTTAGCAAAAAAAAAAAAAAAAAAGGCTGAAGCTGATCTTAAAGACGGAATAGATCAATGAGTTGCTGCTGTGTCCGGCGTTGGCTTCACATCCCCCCACTCTCACCAAGCCCAGCTAATCCGCCAACTCTTAGCCATTCATATGTGTCTGCAGCCCCTCGCTGCCCCTCACCCATACAGCAGGACACAGCGGGCGTCCCCCCGCTATTAAAGGAATTCAGATTTCCCTCTCATCATGGAGCCCGCACGTGTGATCCGAGACGTTTAATCAGCTCAGCGTTAATATTTGATCCAGTTTCCCTTGTTTGAACTGAATGAGCTACATAACATCAAGATCTTCCCATGATTTTACTATTAATATATATTTATTTTTGCTGGAACTTGTGGAGAAAATGATAGAGTCATAAAATCATTGAGTCTGTTTCATGAATACATATTACTTGAATTAAAATTTTAGCTTCTTGTCTGCTTAAAAAATAAATGCTCTGACCTATTTCCCTTACGGTTAGGACACAGTCTCACCCAGAAGACACTAAGAGTTTGCAAAAAGCCACCATTTTAATCCTCAACAGTATCCATTTTTCAGAAACACATTAAAATTGCTCTTCTGCTTGCAGAGCTTTAACCCCCCCACCCCAGCAGTCTTTCAGCTTGAAAACAAATACAGGCTTCAGAGAGAAAAAAATGCAGCCTATATAAGCCATTAATAATCTTATGTAAGAAAAAAAAATAAACTGAATGATTTTTTTAATCCTTTCTTTCTGACATTGAACATTTAGACAGAATACAGGTTTAATGTCTGAATGTACATCCGTAAACTAATTCGTTTTCCAATATATGAACATATTGGTGATGCTACACTTTTATTATTTCATATCATCTTTTTTTGGTCAGTGGATCTTCTGTATTGCCTCTAAGATGTAATACATTCATTTAGTAAATGGATGGGTTGGCTGTCGCTGGGAAGAAAGAGGTGGGGGTGGGGGGTACGTCCTTGCCAAGTGACAGACTGGAGAGTTTCTGCATGTGTGTGTTGTGTGTAGCTGTCGCTGTGTTTTATGTCTGACTACCTGCAAAAAGCAGAGCTGAAGCTTAATGAGAGAGATGAAGGGGGGTGTGGAAATGATGGATTGCATTACGAACACACACACACACACACTTACAACAAACATACATGTTGTGCATCGTGTCCTGGATGGATGACCCCTGCTCTTTGAAGATATCGATCTTATTATTATTTTTTTCTGATGTTCCTGCAGATGAGGTAGACATCTTTTCTTTTGGGGTCTTATCTTCAGAGAAGGGCGGCCATCTTTATATTGATCGAATGTCTGGAGGAGGCAAACCGTAGCTGTGTGAGAGAGCGTGTCTTATTTGAAACTGTAACTAAAAGCAAAGTAATACCTTCTTAACAGTTACATTAAATCCTCACAATGGTTATTATGGGGTACAGTACAAAGAAATACATATATCACTAAGGCAAATAGAAGAAAAAACTTTAAAAGTTAATGGTATAAAAACAGATGTTAATTGCCAATATTTTAAAAAGAAAACAGGTGATATGATATTATATTCTCACAATAACAGGAATAATATTAATGGGGATGAAATAAAGGAAAATGCTTATTTAAAACTATGGGAATCAATCAGCAGATTGGGAGCAGGTGTGGACAGAGGAATCTAGAAGGGAGCTAGGGGAAAGGAGACTGACACAAGACTCAAATACAATAAATAAATAAAAAAAACTAGAATAACACACAATGAAAACTCAAAGAGAATATTAGAACCAAAACCATGACATATTTTTATTGTGTCTGATATACCCTCCAATTACAAGAGACAAGATAGCTATGTTTGTTTTCAATTTGGAAAACTGCAAAGTTAAAATCCAATATGGCTGCAGCAGATTTAACTATTAATCATGTCTGTTGTCATAAACAGACAATTTGTACATCTGTCGCTTTAATATCAATAAACCAGTCAGCAGTTTTCAGACTATCCAACAGATATTGGTGACATGAACTAAAAAAATCTAACTTGCGGCTGTACTGCAACAGATAAAGATACCATACTGCACTTTAATCTGCTAAAACAGGACGCCATTTAATTGTATTAAATCATTTTTGTTATCATTGCATCATTTATTAATATTTTCGCAAAATTTTCAATGAAAGCATAACAAATTAAACCATCAATCACAACCCTACTGTCGTTTTTTTTTAAGGTTAGCAAACATACTGTATTTAGCTAGAGTTGGTAGTAGGTGCAGGATTATTACCGGTATGTCTTATCCCGATTCTTGCTTTTCCCTTGTAACAATAAATATGGTGATTGTTCATACAAGCTTTAAATTCTCGTGGAGAGAACGACTGCAGGTGTGGCTTACATTACTGACAGTAGTTTGCTTAATACCTAGGGTGAATAAATAGAAAATGTCACTGGTTTTCCATTAAAGAATTGTTAGATGGGAAATTTTGGTAAGATGAAGCAAAGCCACCAGTACTTCTTCCTACTTCACTTTAGTTCATTTCTGTTTTTACTGGGAGCTCTCGAAATATTTAGCACTGTAATTCATCAGCCATTATCAGTGTGCATGATAACTGATGTTATTGGCTGTTTAGGTCAGTAACTCCATTATTGTTCAGCCTACAGGGTCAGTCGGCTTATTTGTCTTGTTAAAGCTGTTACACAAATCACTTCCTAGTCACTAAAGGCAGCTCAAGTACCACCAGTGGTTCTGACACTACAGTTTGAAATCAGTTAACCAATAAAAGCCAATGTTATTTACTGAGGATGGTATGGCAGGAATGTGGAGCTGCAGCGGAAATGTTTTATATTCTCTTCTTTATTCCTCTTAGACTTTGGTTTACTACGATAGAGCCATAAATAAAACAAAATGGGCTCTCTATTATCCTACCAACCTATTTTATTACATCATAATATAATGAAGTTCTACAGGATTTAAAAAACAAACAAAAAAAATGTTTAAGAATCAGGGATTTTAGGCCCTATAAGTTTTTTCACTTTTAGTACAGCAAACAAAATGAAAACAAAAATATGACAGATTTCATATGATTAATGTAACATTGGTGTGACCATATTACCTGCTCACACATTAAAATAAGATATTTATAATGAATAAGTAGTCACTCAGCTTTCCAGTGTTAGATAGTTTTGGATTCTTTACCAACAGCTCCTACCAGGTATTAATGGCTTAAATTATGGTAATTATATGATGTTAAACTGTAATTACATCTCTCCTAATAATTGATACTAATTTAAATTTATTTTAGATTGCCTGAATTGCATTTTTACTGAATATATGGAGCTGATTATTATGCATAATGAACGCAGAGCCAAATGCTTTGTTTTGCCTCCCTCACACTCCTGTTTTGTTAAATCTTAGGCTTCCTCGCCTGGCGCCTCTCCCCTCTTCTTGTTTCATTCGTTCTGCCGCCCTTGTTTTTTCCATCCATTCTAAACACGCTTCTGTCTGCGCCCTCCTTCAACATCGTCCTTCCATCCTTTTGTTCCCAGCAATTGCTGCCTTTGACAACGTTCACCCGGCAACTGTTTCCTAGGCTGATCGATGCGAAGCCGCCATGAGCAGCACTAGCTGCATCTTTCCCTTTCTTCGTCTTCCTACACCCTACTGTCTATCTCTGTTTTTTAAGCCAATGCGTCAAATTGCAAAAAAAGAAAGCATGGTACAGGGTGGGGCGAAAATGCAGGGTGGTTGGTGATGTTACCATA